TCGGCTTCATTGTTAGTCAATTGAGGAGTTTTGATATATTGCCTGATGACAACGCCCGTAGGTAGTTTTAAAACGATGCCGATCCCGGACCCTTTCAAATTCGAGGCACCGTTTGTGAAGAGGGTCCATACCCCCGATGACGTACTTGTTTTTAGCAAGATTTCCTTTTCTACTTCGGGTACGATGGCAGGTGCGAAGTCTGCCAAAATTTGAGACTTGATAGCCGTTCGAGGCTGATATTCAATATCATATCCTCTAAGTTCGATGGCACATTTGGGCAATTTTCCCAATAATTCGGGCTTATGCAAGACATTTCGAAGCGGGTATGTAGTCAGCACACATATAGGAAGGCGTTGAAAGTATGGTTTTAATTTCCTAGATGTGTTTATTAATGCAAGAGCTAACTTTTCCAAATGGGGGTACCTAGTTTCAGCATCTCCTAGGGTCCGGCTTACATAATAGACAGGAAATTGTGTACCTTGCTATTCTCAAACCAACACGCCACTTTCCACTACTTCGGACACGGCTAGATACAAGTAGAGTGTTTCATCCTCCTTCGGAGTATGGAGCAGGGGTGGGCTTGAGAGATACCGTTTTAATTCTTCCAAGGCTTGCTGGCATTCTGGAGTCCATACGAAGTTGTTCTTCTTCTTGAGTAGGGAAAAGAAATGATGGCTCCGATCTGATGACCTCGAGATAAATTGGCCTGGGGGAGCTATCCTCCTGGTCAGCCATTGTATGGCTTTCACATTGTTCACCACGGTGATCTCCTCGATGGCGTTAATTTTATCGGGGTTGATCTCTATCCCTCTGTTCGACAACATGAAGCCCAAGAACATGCCAGAGCCGACCACGAAAGAACATTTCTCAGGGTTGAGCTTTATGTTGTACTTTATTAGAATATCGAACATCACCTGCAAGTGAGTCAAATGGTCCTCTGTGCGTCGGGACCTAACTAGATTCTCATCAATATAAACTTCCATAGATTTGCCTATTTGGTGTTCGAACATTCTATTAACTAGGCGCTGATAGGTGGCTCCTGCATTCTTTAGCCCTAACAACATTAAATTATAGCAATATGTACCATACTTCGTGATGAACGAAGTCTTTTCCTGGTCCTCTGGGTTCATTTGGATCTGATTGTACCTAAATTAGGCATCTAGAAAGGTAAGGATCTCGTGGCCAACCGTAGCATCGATCAATCGATCGATGTTGGGCAGTGGGACAAAATCTTTAGGACATGCTTTGTTCAAATCCTTGTAGTCTACACACATTCTAAGTTTATTCCCCTTTTTACGGACTACCACTACGCTAGCTAGCCATTCGGGATATATTACTTCCCTAATAGATCCTATTTTGATAAGTTTGGATACCTCTTCTTTGATAAATGCATGCTTTACCTCGGACTGAGGTCTCCTCTTTTACTTCACCGGTTTAAATCTGGGATCGTCACTTAGTCAATAAGTAGTTATCTCCGATGGGATTCCTGTCATGTCTATGTGGGACTAGGCGAAACAATTAATGTTATTGATAAGAAATTGAATAAGTTTTTTCCTAAGTTCGGGGGTTAACCCCGTCATAACTTCGTTCTGGAAGATGCTCAATCAATATGGCCTGTTCGAGTTCCTCGACTGTGGATTTCGTTGCATCCGATTCTTCGGGAGCAATGAAGGGTGAGAAAATCTTCTTCTTCGTCCTCAGCAACCTGTTCATCAGACACTTGTCCCCCGGGCTCAACCGAGGACACAAGCTGTGGTTGGTATTTGGCCACCCGTTTGTCCTTCGACTTTTCCGATGTGGATGGTGCTAATACCAGTGCCAAATCATGCACTACAAACATCTCCTTAGCTGCATGCTGCTCTTCATATACTGTTTTCACGCTATCCTTTGTTTGGAACTTCATCATCTGATGGAGGGTCGATGGCACTGCCCTCATGCTATGGATCCACGACCTTCCAAGCAAAGCATTATACCTCATGTCACCTTCGATGACATGAAATTTGGTATCTTGTATGGTTCCGGCCACGTTGACTGGGAGGATGATTTCTCCCTTTGTTGTTTCACTTGCCATGTTAAAAGCATTCAATACTCAAGATGCTGTTATGATTTGATCGAGCAGCCCGAGCTGCTCCATGACCCTTGACCGGATTATATTTGCCGAACTACCTGGATCCACGAGGACAAGTTTAACTTGAACTTTAGTTAAAAGGATAGAAATTACCAGTGCATCATTGTGAGGCTGAAATAAGGCCTCGATGTCGTCCTCGCTGAATGTGAGGGTGTCCTCGGGCATGCAATCCCAAGTCCGTTTCTCCCTTGTGATGGATACTTTGGTACGCTTGAATATAGGACCCTATGGGATGTCGACTTCATCGATGATCATGCGAATGACATGTTGAGGTTATTCATGTTCATTCTTCATGCCTGCATATCTCTCCCTAAAGTGATTCTTAGCCCGATCACTAAGGAATTATCAAAGGTTGCCCTCATGGACTAGCCTAGCTACTTCTTCCCTTAACTGCCTATAATCTTCGGTCTTGTGCCCATGAGTACCATGATATTTTCACATCAAGTGGGGGTTCCTCTAAGAAGGATCGGTCTGTATAGGCTTGGGCCATCTAGTATCTATAATTTTGCCAATGGCTGAGACGATCTTCGAGGCATCGACGCTGAAGTTGTACTCTGATAATCTAGGCACCCTTTCCAGTCCCAAGTGCCTATCAAACCCGGTTTTTCTCATGAGTCCCTGGGAACTTTTACCCCGATTTGCTCTTCGATCCTTCCGATGTATGTTACGCTTTGACATGTTCCTTCGATCTTCGATGTATGGTTGATATCTTTCCTTATTCGATCTTGACCCCCTGTCTGCATTTCCTGACTTCCTTGCTAGTAACCTTCTTGGATAAATTAAGCCCAAGGGGGCTCCCAACTGGTCATCCTCGACCCTAATCTTTGATTGGTACCTGTTATGCACATCCACCCAAGTCACAGCGGGATACTCAACCAAGATTCGCTTCAGTTGCTTCAAAGCTATCGATTTTCGTTCATTCAGCCCCTAAGTAAAAGCTTGTATGGCCCAGTTATCGGAGACTGGCGGTAACTCCATTAGTTCTGATTGGAAACGGGATACAAACTCCCTCAGCATCTCGTCCTCCCTTTGCTTTATTTTTAATACATCGGACTTCCTTGTTATGACTATTATGGAACCAGCATGTGCCTTCACAAACGAGTCTACCAACATGGCAAACGAATTAATAGAGTTCGGAGGTAGGTTATGGTACCAAATCATGGCACCTTTAGACAGAGTTTCCCCAAACATTTTTAGTAAAATAGATTCAATCTCATCGTCGTCCAAATCATTCCCTTTTATGCCATAAGTGTATGTGGTGATGTGCTCATTGGGATCAGTGGTTCTTTTGTATTTTCGGATATCTGGCATCCGAAATTTCTTCAGGATGGACTTCAGAGCCACACTCTGGGGGAATGGATTTTGCACGAACTTCTTCGAGTCTAGTCCTTTCAAAATTGGAGGTGCTCCCGATATTTGATCGACCCTTGAATTATATGTCTACGCCTTTTTGTCATTTTCTTCAATCTTCTTTTCTCCAGTCTCAATCCTTTGTCGAGCTCTTCGACCATTTTCACTTTTGTGGGGTTAGTCCAAGAGCCAATTTCATCGGGCCTCTCTAGCGCTGGTTCAACACGGCGCGAGTTTACTGGTTCGGCTATGTTTGGAGTTCTATTCTGCACTGAAGTTGAGTGATGACGACTTGCTGGGCTTGCAAAATTTTGAATATCACTTGGAGGCTGACTCCTCCCTCTTCCATTCCTCGTGTTCTTTGGCCGTCGGGTCGGGCTTCCCTGTGTGCATTCCTTACGGGGTTTGTGCCTTCATCCGTGTTTAGAGCGTTAGGCAAACTGATATCAACTGGATCCACATTTGGTACTCCCTCAGGGTTTATGGGTGGTATACCAACCCCTATATCGTTGTTTTCTCCTAGACCTTCATCCTCGTGAATAGGTGCATTATGTGTGCTAGACATGATTAAGCCTGAAATCAAAAAATCTTTGACAAGAAAAAGTGTGAAGAATAACGTATGTTATCAGAAAACTAGCACTAAAATAATCACTATTATATTTAGCCCCACGGTGCACGCCAAACTGTTTACCTCGAAAAATGGGAGTAACAATTAAATATGATTTGTGGTTTTAAAGATATGTGATTTATTCTATTACTAGTGAATGTACAAATAATATTAGGTCTAAGTAAGAAGAATTGATGAACCAAACCAGTGTTGCTAGAGCAATAAGAACCTCAAGCTCGATTTTTTTGGGGGCCTCGAGGTGTGCTAAGAGCAATGAAATATGAACAGTAAAGTAAAAGCAATAAAGGTGAAGAACACTTGGTGAGCACCATAAACAAGAAAACAGAGTAGAGTATTCTATTGCAGTAAATAATGTGAGATGACCCTTACAAAATGATTGGGGTCCCTTTTATATAGGAGGAGAAAACCCCAATATAGTACATGCCTAATTGTAGTAAAGAATTCCATTGGTATAGGTGTACAATAACCTAGTACGGACCTGCAACATTTCGTACAAATCATATCCTTTAATATATGCCCTGACCCATGTGTCTTTGAGAAATTCCCACTCTTTCTTAAGTGCCCACGAGATTGTACTGCCCTCGATGTAGGTCATGCCAGGCCTTCGATCTGCTTCCTCGAGGTGTGTGTCCTCCAACCGGGTCTGACCTCTACTTCGAGTCACCCGGACTCGGACTCATAGCCCAATTTAAGACTTCGAAATCGGGCTCCTTGATTTTGACCGTACACAATTAGCCTTGTAACAATGAGCTTATCACATTCTTACAACAATACCATTAAAGATTATGGAGAGGAACTGCCACTGGTTTTTCCTTATATCTTTCATCTCAATTCCTATCATAGACGAATTTAGGGCAAGTTCATAGAGTAGATTAAACTCATAATTCATACAGATGTAACAATAAAATAAAATGTATATATATAAAATAAGATCATGTTCAACTTGAATCCACTGAAAGGATTCACCTTTACATTTCTAACTTATCAAATTCTATGTCTAGCAGTCTAGGAAAAATTTTACTACTACTATATACCACATAGTAGCTGACTCCAACCATGTAAGAGTACATTGTTCCCTTAATAACAAAACACTTCAGCAAGAGTAAAATTCGACAAGCTCAGCCAACGACTCTGGCTGGGGATCAGCATTTTCAAGCATCCAAAGCAAGTGTTCAAAAAGAACAACTTCACAGGCGATGGTGACGATGGAGTCTTCTGAATTCCCTGATCTTTCGACAAATTCCCTGAAGAGTGGATGGCAGACAACGTCGGAAGTGACGAGGTATCGGCGGCGTGACTTACCAACGTAGAAAGTGTGTTGATCTTTAATGGAGCAATGACTGCCATAGGAATATGAATCTTCCTCAGCGAAAGAATTGTTGGTGGCCACAACGAGGCTGCTGTTAATACGGCCTGGCTTGAAAGATTGCATTTTCTTCAACACTGATTTTAATTTTGTGAGTTTGCCTCCTTTAGCCATGGGTTTATGCTTTTGTTGGGTTGTTAGAGAGAAGAAAGCTATTGAGGAAGAGAAATAAGAGTAGGTGTTTGAGAGAAAGAGATAGCAAGGTTCGTATATAAAGGGGAGGGGAAGAGTGAACTGAAAATGGAATATGTAATGGGCAGCCGTTACATACATTGAATAGTTTAAACACTTGGCGGGCCCAAGATTTGGCAGGCAATGCCAGCTGCGGCGTTTGGATCTTTCTGAACTCCTTTCTTTTCTTTTTCTGCTTTTATCACAATTTGCCGCTAATCATCTTATATTTGATTGCAATCATTGACAGATTTTCATCAGCTAGTGTATTTTACGACCCAAAATCCTTCCTTAGAAGTCGTGATGACCCATAGTCTTTGAGACTAGGTAAGTCTAACACTTACTGAATTAATAGCAGATTTTAATCAATCGACTATTAAGCATGAAACATAAATTTCTATATAAAGCCAACGATCCCAAGTAGATACATAATATCCCAAAATCATTAGTACAAGTCATAAGTTCTACTGAGTTTGCTAAAAAATCTCTAAGTACAACAGTTCTGAAATAGAAATAAGCAGTACAAAGTAAGACTTTAGAAGGTGACTCTGAGGCCTACGAACGTGATGGCAGGTATACCTTGAAGTCTCCGCCGCAACTCACAATCAGCTAACTAATGACCCGCGCGCTTCGAAATACTTGGATCTACACAAAAATGTGCAGAAAGCGTAGTGTGAGTATACCATAGTGGTACCCAGTAAGTATCAACACAAATCTCGGTGGAGTAGTGACGAGGACCAGTCAAGACACCAAGTAAACATAATAACTTGTACAGGTATGAATATAAAACTAACGGGGAACATTATAAAGCTAAACATGTTAAGAATGATGCTACAATACTTGCAGTAAGAACTAGAACAACAATTAACAACAAGGAGCAATAGGTAAAAATGTCGTGAAGTAAGTAGAATACAGTTAAAGTTTGATGAAACCAAGTAAGAGAAAAACAGGTAACAACCCAATAAAATAACCGCATTCATACAAGGTTTATACAGAACTTCTCCGAGGTACCACACCTCATAACCATAAATCACGGGTCCCAAAACACGAGCTCTAGTCACTTGGAATATTGTGCCTACATTACAAATCACAACCACACGGACAACTCATATGATGCACAAACAACTCACGCACCAATACTATTGATACCTCATATCTGTATGGACAACTCACGTGCTAAGAGAGTGACAATATCTTATATCCTCCCGGACAATTCACGAGCTAATAGTAACAATATCTCATGACCATAGGACAACTCGCGTGCCAATAGTACAAGTCACGCACGGAAGGCATGTATACAAGAATATATGTAAATGATCAATAAACATCAGGGTTCATCTTCTTTAAGCAATATCAGTGATTAATTATGGTGTATTCTTGTGCAAGTGTTCTATCACAACTCGAGTCAACAAGTAAGAGCAGAGACAAAGAATGACATATTGGAAACAACACAACAAAAAGTAAAATGCATGACTCACACAAGGTAGGCATACCACTACACAATATCATCAATAAGAATGCCCCCAGGCATCACAAGTCATCATAAATCATCCCCGACATAGCCTCCCTTGTCTCGCCGCGTGCCCCATAATAAAGTAAATGTCCGGCTTGTCTCGCCACACATAATAATTGTTACGCCCCACAGTATTACGACGATATTACGCTCCACAATATTATATTACAATGAAGTTACGCTCTGCATTATTATATTACAACGATGTTATACCATGTAGCATTGTACATTGAATTTGTCGTAAGATAATTAACATTAGTTTAAGGACAAGATTTTTTGGAGATTATAAGTATTATGCTATTTCAAACAAGTGATAAGTGAATTCATGAATGTGAAATGGTAAACGAATCAAAGAAAATGAGTTTCGTTGAAGCTTATCAATTTGGGATATAATACGATCCGAGCCATAATACCTAGTATTTATCGACTAGTGCCATATAAGGTACCCCATGACCACGATAGTAGGGTACATAAAGTGTGTTAAAAGTGAGTATTATTTTAAGTAATTTGAGATAATTCTTAATTATGTGGGTAATTAGTTAATTATTAGTTAATGGGAGATATATTAGTTAATTAAGGAATTGGTGAGTGATTAATTAAGAATATCATATGAATTTTTTTCCTACTTTGATCCATTGTTACGTGATTTGTCGTAATTGACGTGTGTTAGAGGGATTGTCAAGATAATTGGCTCAAGTATGTTAAGGCTATCCCTTCTTTCCTTCTGGCATGATCTATACGATATGTTAATCGAGCAAATGCACAACTTCTATAAATGACTTTATTCATAGAAATACTAGAGGTTCATATGTTCTTGATTCCCCATATGTCTTAATATTCTATTGTCTATTCATGGGTGTCAAAAAATACGTAAGTTGATAAAGTTCATTTCATGATATTAATCAAAGGCATAATGGTCTTATAACGTTTCGAGAGATTTTATTGACGTCATTTTCATGCATTGCATTCATTTATACATGAACATTGACTCATGACCAGATGGCGTTATATACGCGTACATATATATAGGTATATGGGATATGGTAAAATGTTATGGCGTTATATACGCACTACCATCTGGTCAGTAGGCATACGTTGATGATTTTGCCTACAATGGCCGAGATGATATGATGGGATGCCCTCAGATGCTTGATGATGTTATGTACGCATATACCTATGCATGGTATGAGATTTATACGCATATGCATGGCATTGTACATATTAATGATTCACAGAGTTATTCAGACTTACATGTTGAGTATTTACTAAATGTTTCTCTCGTGTCTATTACTTACTGATTTTTATTCCTTACATACTCGGTACATTAATTTTACTGATGTCCTTTTTGCTTGGGGATACTGCATTTCATGCGCACAAGTCCCGATACATATATTGAGAGTCCTCCAAGTAAGCTATCATCTCAACGGAAGGTGTTGGTGCGCTCCATTTGCTCCGGAGTTGCCTATTTGGTCAGTGTGATTTGGATAGGTATTAGTTGGTATGGCGGGGCCCTGTCCCGACCCTTATGATAATTATGTACTCTTAGAGGCCTGTAGACAAATGTGATGTATATGAATAATTATATGGCATTGTCGGCCTATGTTCAGCGTACGAGTGATTATTTCTGCCTTGTAGGCCCGTATGTCATATGTGTAAGTTTGTATTATATGTTGGGTTGTCCTTTGTCGAAAATCAGCTCTGAGGTATGAAAGAGGAAATCTTGGTGTAGGCTAAGAAAATCGAGGGGCTTCAGTCCCAGTTGGGTTCAGCAGTATAGGCTCAGGAGAATCTGATCGCGGAGCTTTAAGGGGCAAAATCTGAGGTGGCAGAGGCCAACACCAAGGCCCAAGCTAATGTGACCCAATACAAGGTCGATGTTGAAGCTACCCTGGCTCAGTCCAGAAGCATGGTGGATCACGCGAAGTGGCAAGCTTGAAGGGAGGCCCTCGAGGGAACCCTGCTCAAGGTTTCAATATATCCGCTTAAATCAAAATAGCCAGAGCAGAAGAAACAAGGGCTCCAAAACTAGCTTTTCTTGAGGAAGACTCCGAAAGTTTCAGCGAATCCGGTGGGGAGGACTCTGAGGGCAAAAATGTTTCCTCCGATAAGGACCATTCCACTTAAGCTTTGTAATTTTTGCTTTTAGGTCGATCGGCATTTGTAAAGATTTATTGATCTGGCCCCAGGACCCTTGTAAAAAGTCTTTTTGATGAATATATATAAAAAATTCCATTTCATGTGTTCTCAGTCCCTTGACTTTTTGATTGATACAAAAGTAGAGTGCCTTAGCATAAAATTGTGATGTTGTATTCGAAGGTCCAAAGTCGAGATGGTAAGGACCGATAATCAGTAAAGCCTTCGACTGTTTTTGATCGATAATCCCTGAGCGAATGTTCGAACTCGAATTAAGGTAGCCATTAGACTTAATATGTAGTCCTCGAGTGAGGACTTGTCTGAACTCAATTTAAGGTAGCCTTTAGGCTTTATGTTGAATGAAGTCTTGCTCGAATTCGAAATAAGGTAGCCCTTAGGCTTTCTAGTCGAGTGAGAATGATCTCTCTAACTCGATGTAAAAGTAGCCCTTAGGCCTTTGTATTTTGATTTCTTTTGTTTTTGGCGGATCTGGACTTTGTAAAGAGATCGTTTATACATAAGGCTTTCTACCATTTTCAGCTCTAAAATTTTTCCTTTGTTTTTATTGATAGTATTCACAAAGGTTAGAATGCCTTAGCACAAAGTAACAAAGTTTATGTTCGAGGGTTCGAACAAACCTTGCCTTTATTGCCCTTCTGGGTTAAGGCGTTATCGGGGTTCAGTGTTACCGAAGTTTTTTTCTGTAAATATCTTAAGTTTAAGATTCTGTCGAGGGTATACTTTACACCCGATTGTGAAAGATTTTTTTTCTTTTTCGAAAGCCTATATATGTTACGTATTTCGGACGTCTCTGAACCGTGTTAACTTGGTCGTAGCCTATTAGTTCGGTTAAGTGAGCTCATTTTCCCAAGTTATCCAGGCTTGCCTAAGATAACAGTCCCCGAGTGGGTATGGCCGTGGCCTTTAAAATTTGAGGGTAGCCTTAGCGGTCTTATGCCCTCGTCATTCAATAGTTTAATCTGTTTATTTTACGGATGGGAGTGATTATCCAAACTCTGGTTACAATATCCCTTGGGCTCATTCATAATAGATCGAAAGTATGAGGTCGTAAAGTGCAAATTTTTCCAAGACATTAGAAAAGTTTCAAGGAGTACTTCTCTTTATTCTTGTAAAAAATAGTCACACATGCGTACATGTTTTATGTCATGGCTCGAGCAATCTATGTGGGCACGGTTCGTTTTGGCCGTTTGGCCCTTTCAATAAATACTACCTATTGAGACCCTTTCATTTCAAAATAATTTCCTTGGTAAAACAATTCAATATCCGAGGATAATCCCCCCAGTATTTGAGGTTGATTGTAAAGAAATCTCGGATACTATACACACAGTCTTTGATACTGATTCGT